TTTTTTAAAAAAAGTTTAGTTCAGGTTCAATATTGAACTTTTAAGTCAAGTTCAGGTTCAGTTCAGGTTCAGTTCAAAAGTTCATGAATATATTCAAGTTCAATGAATTATATATATACAGTATGTAATAGATATTTAATGAGTTGCTATGAATATTATGCAAAATTATAGGCAATCATTTATTATGCGTTATCATAGCTGCGCTATGATGATATATAATAAATGATTATCTGTGATTTTGCATGATATTTATACCAACCTATTAAATATCTGTTTTATCCACTGGATCCTAATGCCCTGTGATTTTTTTACTGATATTTTCACTTTTTTATTCTTCATACAAAAAAAAATGCCAAACCCGAAAAAAAAGAAAACCGTTCAAAACACACCAGTTCCAATTTTTACTACTGCACTAAATTATATTTCAGAAAATATTTTTGAAAAAAATGCAGCAATAAGTGTACCAAGATCTGAAATAGCACAAAAATTAGACTTTTATAAAAAAAAAGCTGCAGTACCAAATACGGTAAAGGCTACACAAAACTGGATGAAGAAGTTTGATAAATTTTATCATTTTTATAATTACGTAATACCAATTAAAGCTATTGAAGATTCTCATTTAATAGAGTAACAAATATGTAAATATGTTGTACAAATATTCAAAAAAGATAGAAGTAAATACAAAGCTAAGACAATTAAACAAGCTATCGATGGAATAAATAGATTTATTAGCAAAAATAGTGCAATTCGTGGTTTTAATTTACATAACAAGTATCAGTTTTTAGATTTACATGATATTTTAAATAGTAAAATGAAAGATTTACAGAAAAAAGGATTAGAAGAAAAGGAAGGATCAATAGCTTTAACAGCCCAACAAGTTAAAAAGATTTTTAGTAATGAATTTTTAGACCCTGCAACTCCACAAGGTCTATTATATAGAGTTTTTTTCATAATGCAACAATTTTTGCATATCAAGATGGTAAGCACTATTCACTTCAAATTAACCAGTTTCAAATTCAATCTGATAGGAGTATTTTATTTTATCAATATCATAGTAAGAATAATCAACAAGGAATTGAAGAAAGAAAAGCACATTGTATCCAATTACCACCTGATCCACCTGGTATTTCTGGGCCTGCTAACGATTTTACCAAATATATTACCAAACATCTATTAGATACTTCTAATAATTTTTATTTATAGTCAAATTTAAATTGGCATAATACTAGTATCTGATATCTTAAAGCATATTGTGGTTTAAATAAAGTAGAAAATTTTATGAAAGACATTGGGCAAAAAGTGAAAGTGAAACTTTCAGATAGTATTTTAAAAACCATTCTGGATGAAAAACTGTAGCTCAGATACTCCAGGATGCTAATGTTTCAGAAGATACGATCATGAATATTACTGAACATAAAAGTTTACAAGGAGTATACACTTATAAAAGTGTTAATGAAAGTCAAAAAATCAATACAATCAAAACTTTGATTAATTCTATAGAACCGAATCAAGAACCTTCTACAGTACTTACTGAAATTACTAGGTTTCATATTAATTTCAATACGAATACTGTTACAAATACACAAGATGTTAATATGGTTCAAGATCAAATTTATAAAGAATTTCAGAATCAACGTTTTATTTTTAATAACTGTAACTTTACAAATGTTACATTTCATTTATCACAATAGCTTTTTTATAATATATTTGTCTTTTAGAATAGCTTAAAAATTAACTATAAAAATTTGTAAAAAGCAAGACCAATGATTATTTACTAGCAATTAAATAAGTACTTGCATAATCACTACAACTTAAGCTGTTTTATGTGTTTAAAAAATAGTGTTCAATATTATATTAATAAATAAAATATTGAATTGGTCAAAAACAATTATAAGAGTAAAAAACCTTAGTAACATACTAACCCAGTCTAAGAAATGCGGGGCCGTAGAATAATTTTTGATATTTTCACAGGTGATCATCTGTGTGAAAATATTAGTGCGGAGTATCACAGATGACTATTAGGAGATATGGGATAAATGTATATATTATATATTATCAAAAATAATTTACTTTCAATAATAAGTTATTTTCTTTTTTTAGAAGAAAACATAAAAATTTTTTAGATTTAAAAATAGCTATTTATATAATTA